TAATAATAAAATAAAATAAATAAAAGAACAAAAAATAAATGAAGAAAAACTCCCTTATGCTACTCTTAATTATATTCCACTCAAATTATACCTCTCAATCAATAAGCCTTTAAATTTGAATGTGAGGATTTAAAATAAACTTAAGTACTTTAAGTACTTTAACTCTTTTGTGTAACTTTAATGGTATATAGACATTGGATATTGGATAATCTGCTAATATGCTTTCACAAGTTACATATCCACTCCTTAGTTGGCCATGCCCACTCTTACTTAATCGCCAGCTATTGTGTTGTACTTCAAACAAATAGCAAAATACGCCACATTGCTGTTTTTGACAATCGCCGTTGGCAGCAAGCAACTTTTAAAGTAAATAATTTATTTTTCATATAAATTATGAAACGCAATTTCGTTAAGTGCAATTGAAAAACTTTCACGACTAACTAGCGGCTGCAGCCTGCCCGCGAGCAACGTGTCCTTTGCCCCTGTGGAAGGCATTAAAGTCAATATTGTTGCAAGGGGTGTGGCTGTGGCCTGATTTTAAGTGGATCCGGCTGCGGTATGTGTTGCCAGTCAAGGATCATTAAACTTAAGGGGCACACATGTCTACACACACCAACACCTGGTGACACACATGCGCCTATGCACGAGCACAGCTGACACAATAGATTGTCGCAACATGGATTGGCATCGGATTACCACTTTCTGTGCAATGGCAGTGGCAGTGGCAATGCCAACGCCCGCAACAGCATGCTGAACGGCATCACTTTCCCTACCAGATTATTGAATGACGTGCCGTGCACGGTCACGGCCAGTGGATTGAACTGGACTGGCTGCGATTGGAATGGACTGCTGCCTGGGAGCCGAGTCAGCAGCCAGTCGCTTTCTTGTCAAATGAAACCAGGGCCAACTCTTCGCATTACTTGCGCTTTTGTGGCCAGCACGTACGGGACTTGGCTGGCATTGACCGCGAAGAGGACAATAGTGCGTAGAAGGGGTATCAGGTTGCCTCAGGGCATGCAGCACGCTGCCGCTAGGGCGGTAAATGGCAACGGGCAACGGGCAACCTGTCATTCGTCCATTCCATCGGCGTAGCTGCTGCGTCTGGATTATGGCTATTATGTTGCATAGATAAAGCAGCCAATCGTTGGCCAGGTGCAAAATGGTGCCACAGTTTGAAACGGTTGAGGTCTGATTGCCATTGCCAGAGTCTTCAAAATTACAGTGCAACAAGCGGCAAGCGGCAAGCAGCAAGCAGCAAGCGGCAAGCTGAAAACAGCCAGTGGCAAGCGCCAAAAACTGCAGCAATTATATCGAGCAGTCAAGTAGCCTGCGTGACTGCCTAAGTGAATTCGTTATTAGCCAAATGCAAGATGCAGCGCCAAACGCAGATGCCCTCCCAGCGCCCCTCATCGCCAGGCTGGCCACATGTGCAACAGAATGTAACTGAGCCAGCCACCGAGATCTGCCGAGTGCTGCTGAGTGCTGTGGTTCCAGCGGCTACTTATGAAAAACGAGAGCTAATAGTTCGTTTCACTTTTCTTTTATTATTTAGTATTTATTTATATGTGAGCAATTTTGTTACACTTGTTGACTGCTCCCGACTCCCCATTCGCGGCGCCGAGGCGTGGTCACACAGTATGCGGCGCTGCTCAGTCTACCCCACCCCAGCTGCCTGCCTGCCCCACTGGCCCCCACTGGCTGGCTCTGTCTTAATTGTCGGCGCTGGCTTTGTTTGCTTTTACTTTTGCCTGCAAAATTGTTTTGTGCAAATTACTCGCAATTTAATGAGCAGAAAATTAACCACATTAGAGCACTGCCTGGCTAATGTGGCGGGGACCTGAGCAGCTGAACAGGCTCGCACAACTATGCGCATTTGTCGTGCAGCTATTCCAATTGCCTCTAATTAGCTCAGTCCTTGAACCTTTGACAGTGCCAAACTCTGGCAGAGATCATAGCTTCACATCTCTCACATGCAAACATATGGCTAAATATGGCGAACAAAACTCGGCAATTGGCATTGCTGCACCAGCTGCACAGTGGGTCAAATAGCAATCTGAGCGAAAGTAATTTATAATTGATTGAACCCTGAACATTGAAAGTGGGAAATGTAGCAGGCAGATGGAGGCGTGGCAGACTCCATAAAGTACATATTTTTTTGTGTCAGGGCGATGAGCTGAGTCGAGTTAGCATTTTTTTAAATAAGTACTTACATACATAGTTGCTTATAGGAAACCCCTCTGTGATCTTAGTTTAAATTACTGGGCAGTATTAATTTAAATTTATTTTGGAAACGATTTTATTCATTTATTATTATTATTATTATCATTAT